AATATTATAAATATACATATTAAACAGATATACTAGAAGACATTAGTATACCTTCCTTCAAAATTTCTATCTTAAAAATCATACATTTATATTAAGATAACTCTATATTGGTAATGGCTTTATTGGAATTGTTCTCAGATGCTTGAGCATATATGTATAATTTTAACATTTTCAGGCTGAGAAATGTAATTTTAATACAGTTAAGTTAATCAAAAGTTAGGTCAATCAAACTGGCCAATAGTATCTTCATGTTTTTAAAAAAGTGCTAGTAAGAAACAGGTATTCTTATGTGGCTTTGTAACTCACTAAGAAGCAAATCCAAATGACAGCATTCTAAAATTATCATACTGAGGCAGTATCAACAGACTTAATGGATAGTTTGCCAAAATGGCCTTTGAATGACAATATTCTTTTGAATATATAAATTATATTTTACATTTTAATCACCCCAACCGGTGACATATTTTTCAAAACTAATTATTTGATATGTTATCTTCTCAAAAATCACAGAGTGTATGCTCCCCAAGGACAGATTTTCTGCCTCACCCATTTATATCCTGCATAATGCCTAACAGCTTAATTCTTCATAAGATGGCCAGAATGGACTCATTGACAGACATCTGTACAATGTGTACAGTGCTTCAGTGTATAATTCAGGAATCAGAGAGATGGCCCTGACCTAATGATTTTACATTATAAAAGATAAAAGTCTCTAAAATGACAAAGCCAAAAGCACTTTTTTAAAAAATGAAATGCTAAACTGCATTTGCAGAATTGCTTTTGGATCCTGGGATATACATGAAATGAATTTATGGAAAATACTGAAGTGATAGGTTTAATATTATGGTCTCAAGAGCTGTTAGGATACAAGTAAAACTAATCAATTTAGATTATTCAGTTTAGTTATTATTTTCACTTCAGGGGAATTCCTGAATCATTAAACTTAGTAATTTCTATAGCTACTATGGGTCTCTGATTACATGGCTCACCTAATGAAACAGTAAACAGATAACCAAATTAAAAACCCCCAAGGGTAAAAAAGGCTAGAATATTCATCTTTTCAAATTTCAAATATTTAATCAGGATTGTTAGCTGTCTAATGCTTAATGTCATGTAACTAAATTCAAGTACATATCATGAAGGCTTTTTAATACTTTATTTTTAAAAACATAACAATAGTTTTGTGATATTTAGAAGTGAAGGTTTATATGGAGACAATATTTTTATGTATGCATGCAGAGAGACAAAGTAAAATTCTTGAAGTTCAAGGAAAAGATGAAACTAAAATTGAACAACAGGTGCTTTCCCAATTTTGCATTTATGTTCTGTTCCGTTTGAGTAAGTGGACTTATATATCTTGAGTTCCTTCCTGAGTGTCAGTCACTCCATGCAGCCCCTCCCTTAATAAACCATTTGACCAGGACTGCAACATGACTCTGGGTAGAAGCTGACCTCATCAAAGTACTTCTCATCTAAAGCATATCTTTTGAAGTCTGGTGATTGGCTAAGTGGTGGGTAAATTTCTGTGTATTACAAAAGCTGACATGTGATTTTCAAAGAAGTAGAGGGAGGGTGCTATGCAACTTGAGAAGCATATCTAATTATATACTGTTATATTGGTAAAGAAATCATATGAGTTTGAACTCAGTGCAAACTGTAGAAAGTGAATCTCTATAAAGTCTTCCTAGTCAAGTAGGCCAATGGTTTTTCTCAAAAGACTGAGAAACATGGGTTAAACCATTGATAAAGAAGCTCTTTACCTATAGTAAAGTTTGCTTATTCTTTGATTATACTGATCAACTCTACTCAGTTTATTATAGTTGTTTGTTTTACTTCTTATTTTTTTATAGTTTACTCTTCCCTATTTTTTAAAATGTAAGTATAATTAGCATATAGTGTTATATTAGTTTCAGGTGTACATTATAATGATTTAACAATTTATATATTACTTAGTGCTCATCATGGTAAGTGTATTCTTAATCCCCTTCACCTATTTCACCCATCTTCCCACCCACTTCCCCTCCAGCAACCACCAGATTGTACTCTGTATTTAAGAGCCTGTTTTTTTTGTTTGTCTCTTTTTTCTGTTTGTTCCTTTGTTTTGTTTCTTAAATTATACATATGAATGAAATAATATGGTATATGTCTTTGACTTATTTTACTTAGCGTTATATTCTCTAGGTGCATCCATGTCTTTGTAAATGGCAAGATCTCATTCTTTTCTTTGGTTGAGAAACACTCCGGTGTGTGTGTGTGTGTGTGTGTGTGTGTGTGTGTGTGTGTGTGTGTACGTGTGTGTACGTGTGTATGTAAATACCCCATCTTCTTTACCCATTTATCTGATGATGGACACTTCAAGTGCTTTCACATCTTAGTTATTTTAAATACTGATGAAGTAAATATAGGGGTGCATATATCTTATCAAATTAGTGTTTTAAGGCACCTGGGTGGCTCATTTAGTTAAGAGTCCTACTCTTGTTTTTGGCTCAGGTCATGATCTCATTGTTTGGCTCAGGTCACGAACACATTGTTCGTGAGTTTGGGCCCCACATGGGGCTCTGTGCTGACAGTGTGGAGCCTGTTTGGGATTCTTGCTTTCTCCCTCTGTCTCTGCCTCTCTCTCTGTCTCTCAAAATAAATAAGTAAACTTAAAAAATAGTGTTTTCATTTTCTTCAGGTAAATGCCCAGTAGTGGAATGACTGGATCATATGTTAATTCTATTTTTAATTTTTTGAGGAAACTCCATACTGTTTTCCACAGTACAAATTTTGGAAATTTGTGGCTGTACAAATTTTCCTCCCACCAACAGTGCATCAAGGTTCCTTTTTCTCTACATCCTCGCTAACACCTGTTATTTCTTGTCTCTTTGATTCCAGCCATTCTGACAAGTGTTAGGTGATATCTCATTGTGGTTTTGATTTACATTTCCCTGATTATTATTGATGTGGAGCATTTTTTTCATGTGTCTGTTGGTCATCTGTATGTCTTCCTTAGGAAAATGTCTGAGTGTTCTGCCCATTTTTTAATCAGATTATTTGTGGGTTTTTTGTGTTGAGTTGTATAAGTTCTTTATATATTTTGGATATTATCCCCTTATCAGATATACCATTTGCAAATTATCTTCTCCCATTCAGTAAGTGGCTTTATCATTTTGTCACTGTGCAAAAACCTTTTATTTTGATATAGTCACAACAGTTTATTTTTGCTTTTATTTCCTTTGCCTGAGGAGATATATCTAGAAAAAGTTTCTAAAGCCAACATAAAAAACTTCCAGGAGTTTTATGCTTTCAGGTCTCACATGTAGATTCTTAACCTATTTTGAGTTTATTTTTGTGTATGATGAAAGAAAGTGGTCCAGTTTCATTATTTTGCATGTAGCTATTTTCCTCAGTACCATTTGTTGAAGCGACTTTTTCCCATTGACATTCTTGCCATCTTTGTCAAAGATTAATTGACCTTACAAGTGTAGGTTTATTTTTGGGCTCTCTATGCTGTTCCATTGGTCTATGTGTCTGTTTTTGTGCTGGTACCATACTCTTTTGATTACTACAGGTTTGTAGTATATTTCATTTTTTTTTTCAACATTTATTTATTTTTTTTGGACAGAGAGAGACAGAGCATGAACGGGGGAGGGGCAGAGAGAGAGGGAGACACAGAATCGGAAACAGGTTCCAGGCTCTGAGCCATCAGCCCAGAGCCTGACGCGGGGCTCAAACTCCCGGACCACGAGATCGTGATCTGGCTGAAGTCGGACGCTTAACCGACTGCGCCACCCAGGCGCCCCTGTAGTATATTTCAAAAGCTGGAATCATAATGCCTCCAGCTTTGCTCTTTCTCAAGATTCATTTTTTTAACTCGCAAATGTGAAATACCTGTAAAAATAATCTATACATATTTAGTTTAGTTGGTTAACATTTGAAAATTTATTCTGAAAATGAAAAATGTGTGTATAATACTCAATTCTTTTCTGCATCAAGGAGTTAAAGTACTGTCCTAAAGAAAAGGACATTGTGAATTAGGAGAGTGAACAGATTCTCCATGAGTGTGTAAGAAACACTCTCTATTCCTGCCATTATCTTTACCCGTGGAGTCTATACCTCATTCCATTTGTGGATCACAGAGTCTGTGGAAGTATTTGCACTGAAAATCCAGACTTCTTCTTGGAGTCCAATCCTGTACTTCAACCACTTCTATTTGATATTTATGTATAAAATAATACAGTGACACCTACATTTTTAAATCACTTAAACTAAACCTATGACAGGACACAAGAGTATTGTCCATGAGAAGGCATTTTGAACTATGTACATGCTAATTTCAGGTTCTACCGAATTTTTTTCATTAAACCAACCTATTTTTTACTTTCTCTAACTTCATATAGATGAAAAATATTTTAAAAAGAACATATCTGAAGCCAACTAAACTATATTGTTTTCAAAGGTGTGTCTTATATGAAGATATATTGTAAGGAGAATTTGACTTCCATTGTTTAAGTCCTCCAGAGGACATGAGAATTCACTCCTTGAACCTGGTGTCACAGCAAATATCAGCTTACAAACTGAATCAGGGCTTTAGTTTATGTTATAAACTGCTGAATATCATCAATTTGGCAACAATACATGTTTCACATTATTTGAAGCAAATTCTCATTTCAAACATTTTAGCTTGTAACCTTGTCTATCGAAGCCCTATTTTTTTGATAAACAGTACAATTTTTATTTACTGGAGATATAGGACTCCAAGAAGACTTTGCAGTAAAAGCTCAATAAATACTTGAGTTTGAACTGATTCAAAATTAATTATCCCTTTGCAGAAAAAGTGGTAATCCAGAAGTCTTTCCTGACTCTTCTAATCAAGGAAGATAAGAATCTAGGTATTAGATCACTCAACCTTTGCCTGATTCCTTGTGTTCAGTATTTATTAACAGCTTAATATGTGCTCCTAGGCAATACACATTCCCAAGGAGTCCAAGGTCTAGACCAAGAGAATTCAAGTAAACCAAATCACATCTCAGCATGCTGTGTGCTGCTCAGTCAGGATGATCAGTCAGGGAGGGCTTCTGAAAGTTGATGACCCTTAAGTTACTGTGTCATGGAAAACAGAAATGGGAGTGTAGGAAGAATTTGGTGAGGGAGGACTTTCCTGCCAGGAGCAACAGCTGATACAGTGTCTTAGAGACATAGGCAAAGAAGGTTTGTTCAAGGGAACTCCAAATGATTCATATGGCTAGAAAAAGATAGGATGGAGAAATAAATGGGGAGCAGTGAAAGGTAAGAACTCGATTTGCCACTTTGAGGAGTTTGGAATTAATTCTTAAGGTGATGAAAAATCATTAAACGTGTGTAAGTGGAGGGATAACATAATCTGGTTGGCACAGTCTGTTGAGGGCCCTAAATCATTCCCAGTGTGGAACAGAATGAGAGAGGCATGAAAGTTGCTGAGCCAATGCAGAAGGTGAAGCAAGCAGTTTAGATCTTTGCTATGAAGTACTAATAGTAGGCTTACCTTATCTCATGTTACAATCTCTACTTAAATTTAAATACCATGTCTCTTTCCCAGCGCTAACGTACTCAGTTGCCTTTCTCTGAACCCTGGCTTGCTGTGCTTCCCTATATCCTGTTGATTATTAATACTGGACAGGATGCACTCACTGCTCTTACCAAAGCCGCTAATGAAGATTGTGGGAGAGTGTTTCCTGGGAGGAAGAGCCCACCTTATGGTGCCAGGTGATCCTAAATCAGATCTTGGCTTTGTCAGTTTTAGCTATGCGGCCTTGTAGAACCCCTTAAAGTCTCTGAGCCGTGCTTTCCTCACCTCAAAAACAAAAAACAAAGAGCTATCTAGCAAGGTTGCGAGAATTGAAGATCATTTATGTAAGTCCTCTAGAAAAGAGTAAGCCGTCACTGAGCAGTACATGTATTTATTATTGAAGAAGAAATGGTATGAGTAAATTTCACATTTTTGAGTTGCTCTTTCAAAGACAAACAGACATTGGCGGGAGCTCCCAGTAGAGAACTGGGGCCAGGAACTCTCCTGTCACTCCGATTCTAGGTTATTAATGCTTCCAGGCAGCTAAGCAGCTGAACTGCTCTAGAAACCTATACAAAAGAGTCTTGGTTTTAACTATGTAATCAACCTGACAGGACCACAGCTGAAATAAATGTGAACATCGTGGCCAGGTGCCCTTGGGGACTCTGGAGTGGAATTAACCTCCTCACTGCCATTCACAGAATGCTCCAAGAAAGAGGTGGTTGCTTTGTCGTGGCTATTAATTTCAAACAGCATTTGTGCTCCCTAAGTGTGGTCTTGATCAGAGCCACTTCCAGAGAACAGAGAAAATGAAATGGAGACTGTCTGAAGCACTGATTCTCCCAGCAAACCTTTCAGAAATATCAAAGAATGCATGCAAGCAGAGTAGTTTAGGAGAAGGGAAGCTGGCACTTCTCTCCTATTTTCATATGAATATAATGATACAGCCCACACTATTGCTGAATGTGATGAGGTTATAATCCACAGTTTAAACAGAAAAACCTGGTTAGAGAGCATATAGGGAACTTTTATCCTGAGCAGTACAACACAGGAGATATGGGTGAAGGTATGAAGCCAGAGAAAGAAGAATGTCTCAGTTACTGGCTTCCAATTCACATTCATTTAGTACTTTTTCCCCCCTTTCTGTCCCTAAAGGCGAGAAAATCGGAGAAATCTTTCCCTTTGTAGCTACAGCTGGCATTTGTGCAGTGATCATTAGTAGAACATGTTGGCAGTGAAAAACAGGTTCAGCTTTTCCAGAACTGGCTGTCATTTGTGCCAAAAGCAAATAGGAATAGAAATAGTAACACCAATATTGTTATTAGTGTACCAGGAGTCAGCTAACTCTCCTGTGTCTACAGCTTTCCTGAGTCGAGGCCGGTATCCTAGTCATACCCGACCTCTGGACACCATTATGCGTGTGCAGTGGGAGAGTGAAGAGAGGCGCAGGGGAGGAGATGCAAAACCATCACTGAGTACGAGCGGCCAGCTTGACTTAGCAGCCTAGGACTGTTTACCTCTTTCATTGCAGGAAAAGCTTGAAAATCAAGCCCATTTTAATGGGATTATTAATTAGTAGAAAATTTCTGGGAAGCAATTTGGAGAATTTGGCCATATTTATCAATAGTCTTTTTTTTTAATGTTGTGTTTGATACAGAACATAATTTCTAAGAATATACCCTAAGAATAAATCATTTAAAATGCACACATAGATTTTTAAGTATAAAAGTGCTTATTATAGAGAGATTTTAATAAGAATAAAGCATTTTGAATAAACAGCAATCAACTGTTCATTATTGTCATTATCCATATTGAATACAGTCAACTATTAAAGGAATTTTATAGAACTTTAAGTGAAAAATACGTCTTGTTTAAATTTTGTCTTTTTATCACATTAAAGAAAAGAGATCCACTCAAGAAAGGGGGAATTCTACCCCCACTTACTTGTGATACACATGAAGTAAAACTAGCATGGGGAAAAAAAAAAGCTAATAGAATCTGGAGTCACTTTTGGAAAGGAGAGAAAATCGAAAGTCAGAATGATGGCTGATGACACAACACTAGAAAATCAGAAGAGATTCCTGCTCTCCCCACTAGAACAGAGTATTGTTAGGAGTATTAACCAAAGCAATTTAACAAGAGGGGGGAAAGTAAGTAGAATAAATATTGTAAAGTAGGTAACACAATTATTATTTAAGAACGATATGATTTTATATTTGTTAATTACAGGAAATCCTTATACAAGTTAGGAAAGCAATAAGAATTTGGGAAATTAAAACTTTAAAAAATTATCATATGATAAAAATCAGAAAAGGTAAACTAAGAATAAACATTTGAGGAAAGCACAGGAAGAGGATTCAGTGAGTGTGAATGGGGTCCTGTCCATACGAGAAGGGAGTGAGCTGAGAAGCCAGTCTGGCTTAAACTGAGCATGAGTGGTTGGAAATGAAAAAGAAAGCTGGAGACTTAAAATGGGGGCATAACATGTAGGGCTTTGTAAACCATGATTCACATTTTTTTTTCCTCCATAAGAGCAATGAAAAATTTATGAAGAGTTTTAAAGGAGACCATAATATAATATGTACACTCTGCAAGGATATCCTAGCTGCAAATGTGGAAGCCATTTTGAGATGAGCCACATAGATGGGGGAGTGGTAAGTTTTGGGTGGAGATATATGAGAATAGTATCTACAACAGAAAGAAATCCAGAGGAGAGATGTTAGTAGTTTAGAAGAGGGTGATGGTAGTGTGCACAAGAAAAACTAGAATAACCTAGTGATGTTTAGGAAATACGATTGATAGGACTCTACTGAGTGGAATGTGAGCATGAGGTGCTCAGGTGATTTCTGGGTTTCTGAACTGCACAGCTGTATAGATGGGACACCATTTGGGTGAGACAGAAAACACTGAAAAAATGTATAACTTAAAGTGCTTGAATTCAAAACTCAAATCTTTTCTTCTCAAAACTATTTTTCTAACATAAGTTTTAAGTCTATTTTGAAACTCAGAAAACTGGGGAATGATTTTTTAAATCTTTTTTCTTTTCTTCTTTTTTTTTTAATGTTTATTTATTTTGGGGAGAGAGAATGAGCAGGGGAGGGGCAGAGAGAGAGAGGGAACAGAAGATCCGAAGCAGGCTCTGCGCTGACAGCAGAGAGTGCCATGAAGAGCTCGAACTCACCAACCATGAGATCATGACCTGAGCTGAAATCCAACGCTTAAGCAACTGAGTCACCCTGGGGCCCCTCTTTTACTTTCTTAAGACATGGGCTAACATTGTCCAAAGGGGAATCATTAAAGGGCAGTAAAAGAATTACTATGAATTATAAATATATTTGTAAATATATGAAAATGTTATCATGTCAAATATAATGCTTTTATTTGGTGAAACTATAAGCAGTAATCTAACCATGCTCTCCTCTGAAGAAATACACAGAATTGATAAGGACAGCAAATTTTAGTTTTCCTTAAACACGATCGGAATGATTTCTATGACTTTGTATTTTTGCTATAGTAAGAAGAGAAAAAGAAAGATTAAAAAAAAGTCATTGGGGGAAAAATAGAGATGTTGCTTTTGTTTCAAATAAAAGGAAGGGGAAGAGGAAATGTGAAGTGGTAATCAAATGTTGGTCAGAGGTCAAGCAAGGTAAGTTCCCACTACATTTAGGAAATGGGGGGTCATCAGTGACCTTGTGGAGGTCCAAGTCAGGTTGTATGGAAAGCACCAGACAGCAACAGCTTGCAAGTGTCACATGATAAGGTGGTGACTGAAGTGTTTTGACAACTTTGTTGGAAGGTAAAGTAAGTGATAGGAGGTAGGTAAAGAAAAAATGTGAAGTCCAGAAATTTGTTGTGGCTGTTTAATTTAAATGAGAAAGCTATCAAGACATTAAATGTTAGAATTAAAAGAAAATTCTTAAATAATTTTAAAAGTAATGTAACGAAACATACCGAAACAAAAAAAAAATAGTTTTTATGCCTGCGAGTTGGGATCTGGAGCAATTTTATAGCCTTATATAAAATAGGAATCTAAAAAATTTATTCTAGTGAACAAAGATTTATTTTATATTCAGAAAAATAGGACAGTGAGCTTCATTGTATAAAAGAAACAAAAGAATTGTGGCCACCAGAGTGCAATTCTCTGGGCATGATCTGAGATGCTAGAATCTAAGTCATTAGTGTAGCACCCTGTCTTAAGTGCTCCTTCTGTTCAGGAGCACGATTATTGTAAGAACTTCATACTGCATAAATCTAGAAAGCTAAAAGGCCATAAAATAATGTTTGAATGGAAGATGAATTTATCCTCGTTGTCTATGAGGATTTCCAGCTCTAGATATGATGGAGTAGACATTTCACCTTATTCTTCTCTGTCTCTTATACCTAAAAGCCCCGGATAAAATATATGAAACAAACTTCAGAAGATTCTACAAGGTGAAAAAAAGAAGGCAGCTTTTCTAGGGACCTTAGGATTTAAGGAATGACCTGGAAAGTTTTTGTTTTTGTTTTTGTTTTTTTCTGCCTCTTTTATATCCCATCCTAGGCACTGGAGAATTTCACAGGCTGGAAAGAACAGTAAGTACAAGAAAAAAGCATGAACAAACAAACAAATACAACCAAATAAAAAAAGCCTGTTCTCTTCATCCAAAGGACCTATAAGGGAGTGGCCATGTAGGGCATAATCTTTTAGACAACACCAGACACATTCCAGAAAAAATTGTTCCTTCCTTGGCCTGTCATTTAA